CCATCCATCCATCCATCCATCCATCCATCCATCCATCCATCCATCCAACCATCCATCCATCCATCCTTCCATCCATCCATCCTTCCATCCATCCTCAGTTCATCCATCCACACACTATCCACCCATATCTCTGTTAACCCACTGTTTCCTGCTGCCCTCCCTCCCTCACTCTATCCAACATTTATTGATTTAGGAAGGAATCGGTCTCATCTCTTGTCTTTGAGGAGGTCCCTAACAAGTCAGAGACCAGATGTAAAGGGACAAATCCCACACAGTGTAAGAGGTACTATGCAGAGTGTGGAATGCTATGAGAACTCACAGTAACATATCCAAATGCAGACTGAGCCCCGTTTCCTTGTCCGCAGATGGTGATAACCACATTCATCACTTGAGGATTAACAAGAGGAAGTGCTACAGAGCTTTCTGAATCTCAGTTTTATCATCTATCAGTTAGTAATAATACCTCCTCTGTAGGATTATGGTGAAAATAGAATAACCAAATGTGTACAATGCTCTCAGCCCCAGGGTAGGGGTGGAACACCTGGCTGGCTCAGTTGGTTAAGCAGCTGCCTTTGGCTCAGGTCATGATCCCAGGGTCCTGGGATCGAGCCCCACATCGGGCTCCCTGCCGAGTGGGGAGACTGCTTCTCCCTCTGCCTCTGCCTGCTGCTCCCCCTGCTTGTGCTCTCTCTCTCTCTCTGTTAAATAAATAAATAAAAAATCTTAAAAACAAAAAAAAAGCATAGGGGATGCTGCCCTGTCCCCAAGATGCTTCTTTGCCCAGGAGGCTGGGCCCAATACCATTGTACACGGCAGAAGAAAGGAGACTTACAGACATGAGGTTATTTTAAGGTAATATTATAGAGCAAATAACTCTGGCCTTCAAGGCAACCAGGGAAGGCTGCATGGAGGAGGAGCCCTTGAGGGGTCCTGGAGACCGGGATGATATCAGGTGATCAGAAAGGCCTGGGGAGGGCATTCTGGGCAAAGAAAAAAAGAAATATCATCTTTACACAGTCCAAGTAAGCATGTGATAGAGAACTCTTGAATGACACTCACTTGAAAGCTTTCACGGCAGGGGGTGTGCTTTAATTAGGCACCACCTGAGGCCTGTCACTGTGTACGGGTAGTGTTTCTCAGCATACAATTCTGCCCCTCCCTGTTCCTTTCTCAATTTATTTATTATTTTGGGCAATCTGCCAAGCAGATTCTGGTTTGCCTATACCTTATCTCACTGTGTGACCTTTTAATCATTAACTTCCTTTCTCTAGAGACACAGTGAGATGATCTCAAATGTCCTTTCCAGCTCTGCTATTCCCTGAAAAACCTGTTCTGAAGCAGAGGCAATAGTTCCTGCAGTGTCTCTGAGGAGGTAGCCCCACACGGATTGTGTTGTTCCCCTACTTCACTGGCCCTCTGGATGTTCTCCTCCCAGCTGCAGGACACCCTCACCTGGAGTGCCATTAGACACATCTGGGAAGCTTACTTAAAAACCTCAGGCTACTCACAAAACTAAATCCCACTGTCCTCACCATGGTGGCACACAAAATCTCCCTGGGCCCTAGGAGGTCTTATTTTTTCAGATACAATCTTCCAAGAACAGTGATGGGCACAATTTCTGACCAAGGCAAGTAAAGAGTAAACACCATTGCTGCCCACTGGTTTGGGGTCAGCAAGGGGTTCTGGACTTAGCACATTAATTTTTCCTCTTGTTTGTCCCTGGTTCTTTTTGGGGTCTCCTTTAGGGTCCTGAGGACCATCCTTAGAGAAAGTAGATAAGAGGAAGTGTCCCTCTTTGCCTATACTCTGAGAATCAACTTAAATGGCTCAGATTACTTGTGTCTATACCTCCTGCAGCTTTCCACACTCAGCAGTTATAGAACATGGCCACAGCCTGGTTCTAATGAGGTCTCCATGCTAGGCTTTGCTCTTGCCACACCAAAGAGCCAAACGCTCCTCTGTATAAAATTATTCTTCCTACCACTGTGCTTTGCTTGTGCTATTCCCAGGGCTAAGAATGATCCTCTCTTTTCACAGCTGCCTGCTCATCCTGTGGTGAATGACAACTGCATTCAGGGATCAGCTCCAACTACCCCTTCAAGGAAGACTTCCTCCCCTGATGCTCTCATATTACTAATATTAGGGTGAATAATGGCCTCCTCCAATGTCCACACCCTAATTCCTTGGACCTATCAATATGCTATCTTACATGGCAAAAGGGGCTTTGAGAATGTGATTTAAGTTAAGGGTCTTGAGATGGGGTTAGAGTATCCTTGATTATCCAGGTGGGCCCAATGATGTAGTTATAAATGTCCTTATAAAAATGAGGCATAGGGAGATACTACTAGAGAAAAAGGAGAAGGAAGTGTGAGCAGAGATTGGAGTAATGCACTTTGAAGAAAGAGGAAGGAGTCACTAGAAGCTCAAAAAGACAAGGGACAGTCTCCCCTCAAAGCCTCCAGAAGGACTAAGCCCTGCTGACCCTTGAACTAATCCAATGGAACTAATTTTGGACATCTGACCTCCAGAGCTGTAACAGAATAAATGAGTATTGTCTTAAGCTGCTAAATTTGTGTTGTCTTTTTATAGCAACAGTAGAAAACTAAGGCAGTACTTGCATGCAGCCCTTACTGTGTAGGACAGATTATACCAATTCTGTTCATGTGTTGGACTTCTTCTTGCTAAACAATGAGCTTTTTAAGGAACAGTCCTCAGACTAATTCATCTTTTTATTTTCTTATGCTAAGAGAGTGCCTGGGTTCAGTAAGTATTTCTTGGCGAAATAAATGATAGATGATATTCCTAATATTTAGAGTACATAATACTTTCAGTAGGTTTTCATAAGCATTTTTTAAAAAGTAATCTCTACCCCCAACGTGGGGCTAGAACTCAGGATCCTGAGCTCAAGAGTTGCACGCTCTACAACTGAGCCAGCCAGGTGCCCCCACAAGCATTTTTATTTGATTGATATTCTATTAAAATACAGAGTGGGATTTATTTTTTATTAACTCTATTTTATAGATGAAGAAATTGAGGCTCAGAGAGCTGAAACAACTTGCCTAAAGAAACAGAAGTTTACCGTGGTCTTGTTCTTTCCAGAACATTCCATACCTACAGCTCCAATGAGGCACATGAGGAAGAGGAGCCCAATGCAGAAGAAGATGTCTGTGTTCATGCGCCGCTCGATCTGGCTGCGTTTGTACCGTGGGCCGCTGTTGTTCAGCATGGCTTTTGTCTCGTGGCCTTTGAGAGAAAATGAGGTAATAAGTCTTTAGCATCTGTTTTCCTCTGGCCTGGATCATATCCTTAGCTCTTCTCACAGGAGCTTGCAATGGAAGAGAAGCTTCTTCCTCTAACCTAAATCTTTCACGCCTCAGGGAGACTGCTGAGAACAGCCGTAGAGGCCTCACACAGTTTGTCACCATGTGTTCACTGAGCATCACCTCCACACCAGACACTGTGTGCACACTGATAGAGCTACTAAGCACAGGTTGTACACTGCACAACTCAAGACACACCCTTCATTTTGTGGTTGTTGTAGATTGATAGGTTTATCATGATAAATTTCTGCAAATGATAGTAAGCTGTCTGGAGGAAGGGCTTTTTTTTTTTCTAATTTGCACAAAGGCACTGTTATGGGCTAATGGTAGGATACAAGGATGAGACACATGACTCACATTTTGGTGAAAATATTTGAGAAAGCAAATAAATAATTACAGTTAGTAATAAGTCCCATGAAATAAACAATGGGCTGATAAATAAGAGATGGTGGTAGAGAACATGGTCAGGGAAGGCTTCTCAGAGGAGGTGACATATAAGGGACATCAAAAGATAGAGAAAAGAGTTTGGAGAACATCGTTTTGGGCTTGGGGAACAGTATGCGCCAAGGCCCTGTGTCAGGACAGTGCCTAAGGCCAGTAGTTTTCATTCTTGTTTCTTTGCCTAAGGTGTTGCTGTTTCTTATAAAAGAGTGGTAGGGGCCAAAGGCCTCCATCCCAGTCTTAGCCTTGAGCCACTTTACACTTATCTTGGAGTTCTGCCTAAAATTTTGTTCAAAGAGAGGACAACAAAATTTGAAAACTACCAATCTCATCCAGTCACCCTTGTTCCAGTTGGAGACCAGGGACCAAAGAGTAGAAGGGGCCTGCCCAGAGGAAAGAGCCATAACATCAGAGCCATACTGAGAACCCAGGATTCTGATTCCTACTCTTTCTCCTTCTGCCAATTCATGGTACCCAGGCCATACAGCTAAGAGCTGAGAGCCAAGCTGAGATTTTGTCTTTAGACAGAGCCTGTCCTTTGTGGCTGCTAAACTTAAACACCATGCTGTATTCCTCAGCAAATTAAAAAAAAACACCACATATTTGCTGTGCAAAAGTAAAGAAAACCAATATATCAGCACCAGCAGTGAATGGCTTTAATTCTCTTTAGCTGGTTGCCTTGTGGATTTAAAGTGGCAACAAAACAGCAGGAGTGAGCAAACTCTGGGCTTATTAATCAGACTCAAGTTGCTGTAGTTGTGAGGGGGGTTTCCACAGCAATGAGCACAGACTGACTGCGTTCATCAGCACTGTGGCCTTCCCACCTGCTTCAGGCTCACCTCATATCAGGGGTCCTCAGACCTCCCTTTTTTCCCACCTGTTCTTCACCTTCTGCGATCCCTCTGTTCTTTTGGTAAACGGTGGGCTCACAGGGAAGGCGGGATGGTGTAATGGTTGGAATGTGGTCTCTAGAGTCAGAGCTTATCTCTGTAGAGACTTGACATTGGGTTACAAGGAATTAATCTCAGGAGACAAATGACCTTGGGCGAATTAATCCCTTTGTACCTCAATTCCTTATCTGGAGAATGAGAGATAATAGTTGTGTATGTGTGTTTGGGGCAGGAGAGTGAATTAATATACACACAGTACTTAAATTACTTCCTTATACACGGTAGGGGTTCAGTAGATGTTTGCTGTGAGGAGCACACACCTTTATGTTGGATTTCTTCCTTCTGCGACGCTCACTTTGGTCTTTTGGGGCCTTTGACTCAGAGGTGCTCCTATTTTGTTTATCCATATTATCAGAGGAGAGAATATGACTCTAGGTCAGTTGCTCCCAACCAGGGGTGATTTTACTCCCCGGGGGACATCTGGCAATGTCTTGAGAGATTTTGAGTTGTCACATCTTAATGGACTCAGCATCTTGAGGTCAGGGATGCTGCTAAACATTCTACAGGCAGCCCCCAACCACAACGAACAATCTAGAACAATCTGCCCCTTGCTCTAGATAACTATACTAAAACAATCAGTACCATTTTTGTACACACTTGAGAGCCTAATATGTGCCAGGCACTGTGTTAAGCCCCTTTCACAGACAATCTCATTTGACCCTTATAACCCTACAAGGTGAGAACAATTAGTCCCCTTGTGTTGAAAGCTTAACCAACATACTCAGGAACACGTAGCCAGCCAGATTTCACCCCCAGGCAGCCTGACTCCTCAGAGTCATGATTCACTCTCTCCCAAATCTGCACCCTCATTTACCATGCTCATCACTCACTCAGAGATTTGCTTCTGATCAGGCAGAGAAGCAAACTCCAAGCCCATGTGGGATTTTTTGGTGAGGTGGGGATTGCTTCAGAGTTTATCTTTAGTAGGTCTATCAGATGGCATTGAACTCCGTTGCCAAAGACTCTTGGAAAGAGTCACCCAAAGTGATGAACACAATCCCCCTCCACCAAGTTAGGGTAAGCTAGCTAGACTGGGACATTATTTTTTTTAAAAAATCTGTTTTTCTTTGACAGTTCCAGAGAGTGAATCTTCCGGTAGACTGATGTTTCAATGCTCTGCCATGTCCATCAAAAGTGGGGTTCTATGAATTCCCAAACAAATCAAATCAAAGAAAAATAACAAACAAGCAAAATATTTCAAGATGTCCTAGTAAGTAGGAGACGCAGGAAAACATAATCTAGGGTCTTCCACTGAAGGTAGACACTCCAAGGAGACTGTGTTTTCTCTACAGAGGAAGAAGTCTGCAGTTGTTGATGTAACAGCTGAAATTTATTGAGCACCAACCGAGTGCTGGGCACTAAGTACTGGATAGATAGCAGTCCCAAGACGGTCCTCTAAGACTTCAGCTTCATTGTGAGAAGTGCTGCTATCTTTTTTTTTTTTTCATCAGAAAGCAAAATCAAAGTAGAAAGGAGAGTTAGAGCAAAATGAATAAATAATACACACATAACTGCAGAAGCAACAACTAAAACCCACTGAGTGCTCACTGTGTTAGACATAATTTGTTTCACGTGTTGGGTCATTTGATCCTCATGAGTACACTATGAGGCTGAGCCAAATGTTGTTCCCATTTGCATAGATGAGGAAATGGAGGCACAATTTTCACAAAAAGGCGGAGTTGTTAAATTGGTGAGATCATTCCTCAGGCTCAAGAAAGCACTCTTCATCCTGCCTTTGATTAGTGTCACAAAACCATCAGAGGTGAACGAGCACGAATCCTTCTTTTGTTCAGATGACTGATGTTGGCTTGGAATCTAAGTACATCTCCTGTGAACCAAGTAAGCTGCTGTGATTCTCACTTTGCTTAGCTGAGAAATAGGAAGTTTCTTGTACCCCTCAGAACTGTTGTGGATTCCCACTGACTGAAGGTGGATTTGGAGGGGCAGGGGAGGGAGGATAAGGGGAAGGCGCAACGTAAGTCAGTGACCTGCATAGATGACGATGCCAACAGCCACCTCAGTGTTTCTGATGGTGCAGCCTCGAAGCAGAAGACTCTCACTGCCAAAGCCAGTTCTTGTCTGGTCAGGATGCTCCCTGGGGATGAAGAAATACCAGGAGTGGTTTGGTGGTCATTTCATGCTATCACTGGGTAGCGTCACAGAATTAGAAGTGATGAGTGAACAGGATCCCTCTCCTCCCTCTTTTTCAGAAGAGCAATGGGTCTTATTAACTTGGCATCTGGTCTCCAGTTTCAAGTACAACCTTCATGGCTCCTGGGAGGCTTGTGTGTGGGGGCTGGACCATTAAAAGGGAATTATCCATCCCTACGGACATCATCATTTATGCGCCTCAAAGTCAGAGCTCTGCTGAAAAAGCATTGGCTTCAGTTTTCTCACTCAGAATGGTTTAGTGTGGGGGACCTGGCTTCTGGCCCTACTGTGTCCCCTCAGGCAGCGTTCCCATGCTCACTCTCACCTGGTTGCTGGGATTGCTGGGATCTGCTGGGACCAGACTGCAGAGTCTGACTGCGCAAGTCCGCCGAAGCCACCAGACAGTGCCCCCCTCACACTGTGAGACGGCAAGGCTCCTCTTGTTGGGAATTACATCTCTCACTTCCCTCTCTCCTGTACCACCCTCCTCTTGCTCCGTCTCTCGTGAAATAAACAGACCTCACGGGAGGGGGATGGTAGCCCTCTGTGCCACAAGTGGGAGGCAGCTCCTGAAAGACGAGAGTTTTTTCCTTGTTCTAGCCTCAGGGCATTGCAGTTTTCCACCTCACACCAGAAACTTCTGAGGCCAACCAACACCAGTTATTACCTGGGGTCTGAGCCTTACTCCATCCTGGTGCCCTTCCTTTGGGATATTTGAGACATTTAAATTCAAATATAACTTCCCCAAAGCATTAGGGAGAACAAAAAGAATAACATCTGAACCCTTAGGGCTTTTCTCTTTTTAGTTCTTCAATACTTCATTTTTCTAGGTCTGGTTATAATTGTCTTTCATTTACTGACGCAGTTAATCATCATGACAACCCTGGAAGATAGGTTATGTTACCATACCCACTTTATAGACTGGGAAACTGAGGCCAGTTCATAGAGTTAGTAAATGGCAGAATGGGGATTCGAGTCCACAAAGCCTGACTCCAGAGTGCTCTACTGCCGCTCAATATGCCTTTTCGTACCAATTATTCCTTACTGTGGTTATAAACCAAGTTTGCTTATAACATTTTAGTTGATTCTTCATACTTCTGGGAAGTCAGAAGGGTGATTATCCTTTCGCGAAAAAGATGAAGCCCAGAGAGGGTGAGGTTAGTGTCACTAACCCAGGGAGGAGAGTTTTCTAAGGCCACACACCTAATACGTGGGACGCCCTAGGACTCGGGGACCCAGACCACAGACAGCAGCTGTGTCATGTGGTTTTCACAACACGAGGGTTCCCAGAGTAATGCCTCACTAACTTGCACTGAATCAGAGTCCTTCCCACTTGCTATTCTTCTGACTCTAACAAGCAAATGTCTGACAGCTGACTTGGGATGAACCAAACGTCGGGCACAAGGGATGGCCGCTTTGCGGGGCCAGGTGGCAAATTCTACCTAAACGGATGCCTGCAACGAGTCCTCTTTGCTGGGAGCGCGAGCCCTTCCCTGCCTGTCTCCATCTGTGCCGTCTGTGCGTTTTAAAATAATTTGTGTTTAAAAGCCACCAGTTATCTTGTATTGTTCTCATCCCTTCCCCTCTCATAGTGTTCCTCACGGCAATAGAGGTGTGAGAAAATGTGAGTGGGAAAGCACAGACATCTGCCTTCCAAGAAGTCTACTTAAGCCTCATCCCAGACCCGATTGGTCGACAGGCCGCCTTACCAAGCTGAGCTCTGTTCTGCACAACAATGCAAAACATACTGGGGCTCCAGTGGGAAGACCTGGATTCAAGTCCTGGTATTGGCTGGTACCTATTGTGTGCCTTTGGGTATATCTGAAAGTCTTAGATCATCCCTATCTGGAAAATGGGGATCCTAATAGTCACTTCCCTGGGTGGTTGTACAGAGTGAGAGATGATGTTCCATGTAAGTACTCTAGAAACTGTGAAAGCACTGTATGAGGGCATGTATTCTCATCGTTACTGTCACTCTTTTTTGGTCTGTCTTTGCCTTAAGACCAGTAGTCTGATGTGGGAGCAGAATTACAGTCAAATTCTCAGGCCAAACTAAAGTTGAGGCATAAGAATAACACTAATGCTAAGAGCACATCCACCATGGACCGTTTACTCTGTGCCAGTTGCTGTGCTATGTGATAAACTACCAAATTCGTAGAAAACACAAGTCCTATGATGTAGACCTTATAAGCTTTGTTTTACAGATGTGACAACCAAGGCCCAGAGAGGTTAATGAGTTTACTCAAAGTCACACAGCTTGTAAGTGATAAAACCCGATTTCAAACCTAAGTCTGTCAAACTCAAAAGTCCCCGTTTTTACCTGCAATGTAATACAAGCTCTTTTAGAACACGGACATCAGTGAAATCTTGCCTTTCCTGAATCAGAGTGTGGTCATGACTTTGATGTTATTTCACCAGAGGTTTAAAAAGAATTAGTAAATTTAAGACTGCAAGATAATTAACTGCCGCTCTGGCGCCAAAAAAAAAAAAAAAAAAAAGAGAATAAGAAAATTTTCCCAATGTCGTTAGATTTCTTTAGCATTTCTTTACATCCTCAAGACCAGGACACTTATCTCTTTGGCCGTGTCAAGAAAAGATGTGTTCTAGCTGCAAGGGAAAATAGTTACCAGCAGCACAGGGGCATTAGATACTTACATATAACCCTTAAATTTGTTGAGGTGGTTGTTGGGTTTCTCACACACGATGGTGTTGCAGAAATGTTCGGGTTCGAACTGTACAACCTGTGGGGGAGAGAAACACCAGGAAGTCATTAAGTTAGAGGGATCTAGTTTCAATAGGATCACCAGGAGAGCTAATCACTGTTAGAACCATCACAACTAAGGCAATCCCTGCTTTGTCACATCGTGATAGTTGTAAAATGTTAGAAGAAGAGTGAAATCCTCATTAAGAAGGAGGAAGCAGATGCACTGAAAATGCTGGAAAGTTGGAGGCACGGCAGAGGGAGCCCCCTGCCTGGCCAACAGCTCTCTGGCGGGTCTGGGTTTGAGTTTCCAGACCAGCGCCATCCAACAGAACCTACAGCAACGATGGAAGTGTTCTAAGTCTGCATGTCCAATATGGAAGCTCCTCATCACCTGTGGCTATCGAAATGTGGAAATATGGCCGAGAAACTGACTTTTAAATTTTATTTAATTTTAATTAAAGTGAAATAGCTACATGTGGCAAGTGGCTACCACATTGGGCAGCACAGACATAATCAAAAAGAGGTTACAAATCACACAACCTAGAGATAACCAGAATATTCTTGTGTATATAATACTTGTAGGGTTTAAAAATATATGTATAATTAAAAAATATACAAACACCTACATGTATGTATGGGTACACATACATTTATGCATTTCAAAAAATGAGATGGTGTTCATATAAACTGGAAATTTTTACATGTTAAGTTTTTTATACATCTTTATTAACACCGGCATAGAAACCTGTTAATATGAATGCCACCATATTCATTTTTCACCATTTCACTATGGCACATTTATATCATCTCAATTTGTTTTTCTATTATGAATGTGCTGTGGAAATTGTAGCTAATAAAACACAATAAACAGCATATATTGTATTCGTTTCTGCCAGATGCCGAGATGAGAACTTCATATATATTATTTATTTTTAAGCTTACAATTATTCTATGAAGTAGAAATACTAATTATCCCCTCTTTAGGGATGGAAAAACCATGGCTCAGAAGGGTAGGCAGGCTTCCCGTGGCCGCTGCACGACTGGGATTTCAATCCAAGTGTGACGAGAGGGTCCCCTGTCCTTTACTTGCACAGCACGCTGCCCCCCAGCGAACGTTCCTGTAGCAAAGTACTTCAGACACATGCTTGCCTTTTTTTCCATGATTTGTCTTTCGTTAGGTATCTAGGTGTATAAAATCTTACAGTCCAATGGGGGAGGGGCACAAACGGAGGTGGGGGAGGTCTCCCCACATGGGTTAATGTTCCTTTTACCTTTTGAGCCTCAGTCTCCCATCTGTAGAATGGGGCTAACTCCACTTTCCCTGTCTATCTCATTTGTGCCCCAGCGGACAGAATCTGTGTGGAAAGTATTAGCAGAGGTAACATGCCATGCAGTAGAAGGAAGGAATGCTAACTAAAGGTGGGGTGAGAAATGGTTTCCTGGGTAGAGCTTTTGAATGCGGACTGAATTTATCGGTGAAAGTTTCAAGGTACAGCTGTTCAAAGGGGCAAATTGATTAGAAGAAACGATAGCATTCTGGCTTCGTATAAATATACTGTCCATTGGATCTGTGGGGGCGCCAACATAAATAAACTCTCCACTCACTTGAAATAAATTACCCATCCAGGAGTTTCTAAAAATATGGCCCTTTTCTCTCCAGGTATTGATTCTTTCAGGGACAAACACTTGCCGAGTCCTGAGATGATGACAAATCACACCGTAATTTGTCAGCTGCTTTCATGCCCCTGATTAAGCCATGTGCTTCGCTCCGATCCATATCACTCGGCTCATTGCAGGCTTTCTAAATCCAAACTCATTTCAGATATGAGTGGCAGCGGGTCTCAGAGCTAATGATCCTGCTGCAGTGAGTGCCGGGTGTCTGTTGAATCACACCTGGCAGATGCCGGCTATGTGAGGTTGGCCTCTCTTGTCCCTGCGCTGGGGCTTCCCAGTGACCTTCCTCAAGTGTCCCCTGTTCTCATTTTCTTCTGGGCACTGGCCTTGGGCCCTCTGTCCATCTCCCTCTCTTCCTGAGGAGGTGACCTCACCCTTTCTAGCTACCTGTCCCCTGGGCTCCTTACTTCCCTCCCCAAAATGGGCTGTAAAGAGGGGCATGTGGGTCTTGCTATCTTCAAAGATAAGCTCTCGGGATCGCTTGCTTTGAAGACTTGCTGTAGCCACTCCAGGGAGCTGCTAGGAGAGCCCAAGGACAGAGGGCATGGGGGGAACTGCCAAACTCCTACAAGGTCCTTATTTTAGCCTCATTCAGGAGTTTCTGAGACCCTTCTGATTCATTACAGCACAGATTTTCATAGCTTGTGGACAAAGCCCACCCAACCATTTCTTTCTGACTCAGCCCTTTACCTAAGAAAGCCCTGCTAATAAGCAAAAAGGCCTGGGGAGCCCTCAGGGTCCATGAAAAGATAGCCCCTTCCCAGAGAGGAGTGTGTGTGTCTCTGCAGCTCTTTAGACCAGATCCACTTCCCTTGAACACTTACTATGTGCCAGGCACCTGTCATTAAGTTGTCACAGTAACTGTAGGAGATTTTGACAGATGGGCAAATAGAGACTGAAGTAAAGCAATTGTCTCAGGGTTGGTAAGTAACCCCCATGACTGCGGTTCACATCCTTGGAATCCAAAGCCAATTATCATCATCGTTGTTGCTATGGTCATTGTTACCGTCATCAATACATTTAATCCTCTCTGTCCTCCTGTTTTTTATTATTATTGCTTCAGCACTTACTGAATGCTTGTTATGTGCTAAGAACCAGCTAAATATTTTATACATGCTATTTCCTTTAAGTCATATAATAACTCTGTCAGGCAGGGACTATTATTATAATTATTTTTTAAAGATTGTATTTATTTGACAGAGGGCAAGAGAGCGCAAGCAGGGGGAGTGGTAGAGGGAGAGGGAGAAGCAGGCTTCCCACCGAGCAGGGAGCCCAATGTGGGGCTCGATCCCAGGACCCTGGGATCATGACCTGAGCTGAAGGCAGAGGCTTAACTGACTGAACCACCCAGGCTCCCTAGGCAAGAGACTATTATTATCTCTATTTTACAAGTGAAGGAACTAAGGTTAAGGAGATCCCAAAGACCTACAGCTAGCAAAGTGAGAAGGCAGGCTTTAACTGTGGGACTTCTGATGCCATACACTTTGCTCTCTCAAACAATGGTGTTATTTTGATGCACAAAGGAAAGATTAGTGTTTAAGATCTCCCCTTGGGAGGGGGGTGGAGGGATGAGGTAACTGAAGGATGGACATTAAGGAGGGCATGTAATGTAATGAGCACCGGGTATTATATAAGACTGATGAATCACAGACCTGTACCTCTGAAACCAATAATACATTGTATGTTAATTAATTGAATTAAAATAATTAAAAAAAAGATCTCCCCTTGGCTCTATTTCCTTTCCTGTGTTCTTTTTCCACTTTCTATAATCTAAGTACCTGATATAATAAATTTATATATATGGAATTAAAAAACAAACCCAAAAAACTGAGCTCATAAATACAGAAAATGGATTGGTGGTTGCCAGAGGTGGGGGTGGGTGGAATGGGTAAAGAGAGTCAAAAGGTACAAACTTCCGGTTAAAAATTAAGTAAGTCATGCAGTGCAATGTACAGCGAGATGACTACAGTTAATAACATTGCATTGTATGTTTGAAAGTTGTTAAGAGAGAACTTAAAAGTTCTCATCACAAGAAAAAAATACTAACTGTGAGGTGATGCATGTTAACTAGACTTATTGTGATTTCACAATATATACAAATATCAAAACATTATGTTATATACCTAAAACTAATATAATAAGTCAATTATATCTTAGTAAAAAAATAAGCAAGCTCCAATGCCTAGAAATCATCATTATTATCATTATCACGATCACCATCACCCTTCTTAAGGTGGGTCAAACAAGGAAGCATAAAAAATCTAAACTACATCATATTGTCATGCTGAACTTTGATTTGCCTCCATTAAATGTTTTTATTTGATTGTTTCTAAAAGATTTTATGTTTTATGAAAGGTGTTTCTTTTTTTTTTTTTTAAAGATTTTATTTATTTATTCGTGAGAGACAGAGAGAGAGAGAGAGAGGGAGAGGGAGAAGCAGGCTCCCAAGGAGCAGGGAGCCCGATGCGGGACTCGATCCCAGGACCCTGGGATCGTGACCTGAGCCGAAGGCAGATGCTTAACCAACTGAGCCACCCAGGCGCCCAAAGGTGTTTCTTATAGTCATTGGTTCACTCTCATCCTCTTTTCTGGTGTCTACATACACATCTGGTAGGTAGGCAGTCAAGGCATTTCTAGACCAGGGTATCCCAATTGTTTGGCACTACTGACATTTGGGGCTGGATAATTCTTTGATGTTTAGCAGCATTCCTGGCCTTCACCAACTTGATCCTAGTAGCACCCTCTCTTTCTGCCAGATGTGATGACCAAAAATGTTTACAGACATTCCCCAGTATTTCCTGGGGGTAGAACTAAGAATTGCTCTAGAACCAAGTCCAGGCTAAGGAGATATAAAGTTGCCCAGATTGAGAACACACTCTATCCTATCTGTCCATCAGGAGAGGACACGATAGGATGTTTTTTCTCTCTCTCTTTTTTTTTTTTTTTCTCTTCAATTGGAAAAAAAGGTTAGATTTCATGACCGGGGGTTCCTAATGACTTGAATGATGAGAAATCTGCATATATCACTTTGTCCTATATATACTATAGAAACTATTATATAAGCATGGTGGAAGTTTCCTTACAATATATGTATCATGCTAAGGTTAAAAATAAAAGGGGATTGATAATGAAAAGAAATGAATTCATTGTCTAAAATATAATAGAAAGTATTCAGAAAATACCACAACTAATAAGCAATGCAATGTGTTATGTTTTCCAAGTGTATTTGCATTTTAAAGCAGGGTAACTTTGAAGGGTAGAGGTTAAGACACTACCTAGACTGGGACATTCTTTTGAGGATTTTACTATGTGTGTATGTGTGTGTGTATAAATATATATATACATATAAAAATATATAAGTAT